TACTGTGATGCAAGACCGTTCAAAAAAATGCAATAGCATTGGTGGTAGGAAATGGAAAACGCTTGGACTCATTCTTAAATATGACTACCAAATGAAACGACAAAATGAAATAAGTCAAAACGAGCAAAGAAAGGCGAAAAAAGAAAATGGTATTCTAGACGTACTCTCTTGAAATGCTGTCACAATTATCTTGAAACCAGGTTTTATCGCTTCGCTGTTCGAAACCTGGAACCTTGGAGAATTCGAGGTACTAGATCAAAGGACAAAAAACAGAGAATCAGGATGTTTTAACCTTGGTTTTGCTTTAAACCACCGAAAAGTCAATTAGGAACTGATTCAATATCTCACCATCAGCTCTAGGTGCTTGCATTTATGGGTAGTAAAGCTCACTCTGAGCCAGAGTGTTGTCGGGACTGATCCTTTTGGATCGCGAAAAAAACTGCATTTAATTTTGGCCCAATGCAGTGTTATTCAATGCGCATTTTCTGAGCCCACCGTTAAAGTCAAATGTTCCCAAAGCCAACTACAATGGGGAATGAATTTGACTGCTACGGAAGATGCACTCTATAAATCAGGTATTATCCTGTCATGTCAGCCTCCTAACAAAAATTCCAAATTTCGGAAGCAATACTTAAATGCATCCGACAAAGCATAAAACCGCCATTGCGTTGGGAGAAGTAATGACGGAGCTTCAAGACCGGTTGGACTGGTTGATGGAACATCAACATTCTAGTGGACTATTACTATGGGAAAGTGAATTCTCAGACCAGAGCGTACGACGAATTAACTAGTGGAAACAGGATATCAATAAGTTCGAAATGAAATGCCGTAATTTTCTGGAACAGTTGCTAAAGTGGCCTTGCATTCACAAAGAAAAGAACTGAACAAAAGGGAGTTCCTTTGACAAACAAACGCAATTCCAAAAAGCTACCTCTGCTCAATGAAAACTTTGCTCAAGATTGACGCTGTTCCGCACGGAATCACTTGAAAATAGCAGCGCTTTGAGGTTAAGAAGAGGTTCCGTTTAAGTTAGACATGTCTAGCAATATGCCAAAAATCGACAACCTACCACGCTACTCCAACCGTGACAAGCCGAATGATAACACCATTCTTTAACTTGGCCTAGAAGTCCTATTGACCGAAAATGTGCCACGTTTGACAAAAGATGAATCGAATTAAAAAAATTATAGCTTTTGCAAGTTAATACAACCCAATGGACTGAGTTGAATGTGTGCAATCATTCTTTTTCTCCAGTGTTTCCTCGAAGGAATGAGGATTAGGACAATAAATGAAGCAATGCATTCTTGCCCCAAATTGTTGGAAAGGAAATATAAAAGGTGGCAAAAAACGTACTGAAATGCAATACAGATGTAGGATTTGGTCGAGAAAACCGGGTTTTTTGGATATTGAGATAAACAGAGACCCTGTTCGCCACCAGCTTCAGGCTATAAAAGGTAGAGTAGAAAAACAGGGATAAGAAAATACCATCGCCAAACCCTTTCCGCATGGTTGAAATATCATCGATATTTTGTCAATATGTTTTGTGAACTTATTTCTTAATTCTGCGGGATTTTGACTCAAGCACCTTGCTTGTTACTCAGTTAAACGCGTTAGAGCTCGGGATTTGATTGCGTCGCAGAGGTTTAGACACGAATCACATCAAAATTTTACTGAGTACACGACAGGGCAAGACATCGTAGTATTATGAACCCGTTCATACGCAAGATTTGTAACAGAGTAAAAAAAACAACCTAGTAGATAGTAAGTGTATGCATACTTAATCACGAATATTCCGATTCAAAATAAGAAAAGCCGCGAAAAGCGTATAAGTGTCGAATGCTATCAGGTCAATGCAAATTCCTACCATGGCCTTAGATCTGGCTGTATTTGAGTCAAAAACGTAGAGGAAGTCGTCCTTACAGGTTTGATCACTGGAGGGTATAAAAAAGGACTCGATAGTGAGCATAATCCGTCCATTATCGAGAGGCGCATGAACAACAACTTCGCAGGAGAAAGCAAGAGGATACTGAGCGTAATAATTTTGCCCCAAGAGATTAGATGAGGTGTTGGTCAAGAAACCAGGTTCGAAATTGTGCGAGTAGATGATGGCATCACTCTCGAGGTCATCAATTCGAAGAGTTTTCGTGTGTGATTCCTCTAGTCCAGCGATTGATGTTGGTATAGACGTGCAATCTCTCGATAAAATAACTATGAAGAAAAACACATATAGTTAACGCACTGATAGCAATCATCAACTTAATCGTAATGTTATGACATTCGTGCAGTAAACTAGAAAGGAACGAGCAATGGAAAACTGCAGCAGTTCAAGCGATCAACTCAAGATAGAAAACAGTTGTATATGTAGAATGAGAATGCCCGCGCTTGTGAAGGCATCTAAACTATATCCAATAATAAAACCTCGCTCGTCGAGCAGCCATTAATTTTCCAAAGGCATGAGAAATGTCTTCCGCATTTGCTAAGATTTTTACCATGTTATGGCAAAGAGGATGAACATGGGCCAACGATCAAGTCGATTTTAA